ATAGCAAACTTCTATTATTATTATTATAATTATTATTATTATTATTATTATTATTATTATTGTTAATATTATTATTATAGTTGATATTGTTAATATAATTGATATTAACAAAAAAAGAAAAAAAAAAAAAATTCTTAGAACTAGAAACCATGCTATATAGAATATGCCTTATTCTAAATTAATTATGATTAATACAAAATGCAAAAATTTAATAATTCTATTGGACAATTGAAATAAACTATTAACTTATAAAGTTCATTTTTAAAGATAATGGAAATATTATAGAACATGTTAATATTATAGAACATATTAGAGATTTCATCTCCATTTGATCCAGAAGATTATAATGATCAAAATGAGCTATAATACAAGACAAACAGACTAATAGTTAGCTAAATAATCAAATGATAGATTTACTACAATACTCTTTATATCTTTTGTACTTTTCATATCTTTTGTACTTTTTATACTTTTTGTTTCTTTCATACCTTTTGTACCTTTCATACCTTTTATATTTTTTATAGCTTTTATAGCTTTTATACTTTTTGTACTTTTCATACCTTTTATATATTTAGTATTTTTTATACCTTTTATATATGTTGTAAAAGCTATATAAACCTTAGCTTTTACTCTCTCTTGAACTGGAGGATTTGTTCTCGGCAATGTTCTAAATATTAGGATTCTGTAGAAATAGATACCTATAGATAGCTTTGTATCTAGGCATTGTATCATAAATAAATAAATATATCTTTGCTCTAAAGTAAACTATGTCTCTATGCTTTTAATGAATATACCAAACTGCTCTAGTAAGGAAATATTCCACTTTCACACTACTTTATATCTCGCCCTGTTATATTAGAGATCTCTGTCGCTGTGTGCTATGTTGCAGGTGGTAAATTAAGAAGGCTACCCCACTTGTAACAATATAAAAAAAATAAACATGGTATAAATATATGCTTTTCTTATATGAGGGGGTGCTAGTAGAAATCAAGCAAATCGATAAATTCGAGTTTTTGAGATAATGTGACTTTGTGTTTTGTTACACAAACTCATATAAACAATGATCAACATCCGGATAAACAATGATCGGCATTCAGATAAACAATGACCGATATCTGGCCTTAATCAGAATCTGTGTAATATAAATCGACCAAGCAAATTTATTAGATAAATTTGCTTGGTTTCTACTGATTTATATAAATCAAAGATCAGATGATTTGTTTTTTGATCTAATGAAGATCAGAAAATCGTTTCTGATCGAAATGAACTTTCATAGAATTTAAATTCTAAACTGTAATATCTCAAGATTTTATTAATTAATAAGAGGTTTATTATTAAGTAAAAAATGTTTCTTGTTAAATTTTATATTAGTTAAATAAAAAAACTCATTTTTGAAAAATTTTTGATTTGCTTAGTTTCTACTAGCACCCCTCATATATTAAAAACTCTGAAATTAAAATTTTATCAAATTTCGGCGAATGATTTGAGAACAGATTAAATGGTTCCAATCCCTAAATTTAAGCTATTTAATTTTTATTGAAAGTTGTATGGTTTTTTATTTTAAAAATGAATTGATTTTTTTGTAATCATATCTTAGCATTAGTCTTAATTATTACTATATTTTTAGGTTCTAAATATACAATAGTGATGGTTAAATCTATTGAAATAAAAATGATATAGTAACTATATATAGTTAAAATATTGATTAAAATTAGACTATTGCTATTAGGAATATTATTCATTTCAGTATACAAATATTGTTCTGAGCATTGGCAAAGAGGAATATCAAACCACATAAGTCTAATTGTCACAAGACAACCAAAAAACATTGGCAAGATAAAATTAAAATATTAAACATATTGAATATATGGCTAAGTGTGAATATATTGGCCCAAAATTCGAAAAGAAACTTGAATATTATGAAAAGATTTAAAAGAAAAAAAAATTACATATACGCTAATCTATCTTTGGAAGCTGATATATTTAATACAAATAAAATTCAATGACAATGATATAATTCTACTTCTATTTTTACTTTACGAATTCATATATTTATGGCTTTTGAAACCAAACCTAATATCATTTTAATTTTAATAATAACATGGAATTGTATTATTAAAATTTTAAATCTAAACTGATATCAAACAAAGGTCTTGAAAGTATGGACTTTGAAGTATCGAATATTATTAATGATCAAGATCGATAATAATTAATATTAATATTAATTAATATTAATTAATAAAATTTCAGTTTTTTTAGTTTTTTATTGCACGTATATAAAGTTTAATCACTTTATATTTTGATAGTTTTTACATAAGCTATAAACCTATAACATAACTAATTTATATTTTTTGTCAAGTCTGGTCATGAGCATTGTCGGCATCTCAATTTGTAATTTATCTTTCCAATATAGTAAATTCTTCTAAGTATATAAAACTAACTTAGTAATGAGTTGATTTAATTTCTCTTTTATAGATTTTAAAGAACTGCCCTATTAGGGCAGTATTATTTATTATCTGATTTTTTTTTATCAGAGGCTTACCCCCCCTAGTTTTTAATATATAAATTATCAGATCTTATATATAAAATTTTAATTTTTTTGACCCCCCCTCTCTAGAAAATCATCTAATAATTGTCAGCTCCCTTAGTTTTAACCCTACCTAACTTAACTAACTTACATAAAATTTCACTCTATTATGATAAGTCACAAACTTTTTTAATAGTTCATAATTTTCAGATTGGTTTGATATGTTTATAAAAGCAAAAATAAAATGTTATATATTACTGTAAATATATAAAAATGAAAATTTAAGAACTGCATTTTTTTTTTAAATCTAAAAATTGGTACTTGAATTATACTATATAATCTTGTTGAGTTGGCTGTGGTGGCCGCCCAAAATGCTGGTCATATGATCAGTTTCACATCATTGGCTATACAATAAAAATTTATGACCATTATTAATTATAAAGTTTATTATAGATCATTATAGAATTTATTATAGAATTCATTATATATAGAATTAATTATAAAATTCATTATAGAATTCATTATATAATCAAATACTTCTAATTACATTTTTTCTTTATAACTTATTGCAGAGTTGGTAGCATAATTCGAGGGGCTACCCTTGAATACAGAATCTTCTAAAAAGCCCTTGAAATGACGTAATTTACTATATACAAAAAATGGACCTACGTATTATATAGATGTATGGATATCAATTATCTCTCAGTACTTTTTGATCAGCTTGACAATACAGTATCTGCTATTGTTTTCTTTTGTCGTAGCTTGACTTAATATAAATAACTTTTAGAAAGTATTTGGTATAATAGCTTTTAGGGGTTATTTATAATTATGTTAAACTAAGTACTATATTGTATAGAAATAGAGATTTAAGATAATAGCATATAATATTATTTTAGTATTATCTTTAATTTAAGATCTCTATAACAATACCAGTTTAACATAAATTATAAATTTTCATAATATATATAGATTTAATAATTATTAATTTATATAATGTAATATATACAGTATTATTTGATTTGATTATAAGTTTTCTATATATAAAAAGCACAATATACGTATACATATAACAGTAAATTTAGTAAAATCTTTTATATTCTCAATAAATTGTTATACTGTATTTTTTAAGAGAATGATTAGTTAAATTATTAGTATTCATTTTATGAGCAAACATGTAATAACAAGAATTATACTAGGGCAACATCTATAATTTATATTATGTTATCATTAGGGCGCTGACAGATATTACGTAATATCCTAGGGTATCCACTTATTTGTACCGATAATACAAACCTCTAAAAAGGAAATATCCAATTGGAGAACATAAAATGTAATAATTCCAGATCAGCCTGACATGTGAGCAAAGCGAAAAAAAACACTGAAAAAAAGAAAATACTCAAAAACTAGTGTTTAAATTAACCTTTTTGGACTAATTAAAAATAACGAGAATGAAATTTTATATATAAAAAACTCAAATTATCACCAAAAGCTCACAACCCTAACACTAACCCTAACGTCCTACCGTATTACTGCGAAATAACGATTATAGGCGTTATTTTGAAAATCGTATTCTCTAAAAATAGCATACTGGGTTTCGAAATAACGCCCATGTGTGTCCCGAAATAGCGCGCACCATATGTAGTATACTATATAATCGAATAACAAAAGTTGGTAAAAAAACGTTTAAACGTTTTTTTATTGTTTAAACCTTTCTTAAAGCATCGAAGCCTGAGATAAAATTTTGCTTTAATAAAAATATTGCTTTTTGATTAATTTTATTTTAAGCTAAGAAATTTTTTTTAAAAAAGATGCTATATCTTTTCAAATGAATTATTTGAAGAACTGGAATCCCGTTTTTTGAGTTTTTAATAAATTATATATTTCTTGGAAGTCTCTTTTATGGTTTAATAAATGGCCTTTTAATTTATCAACTAAATCAACGCAGTCTTCGCAATAATTATATTTTTGGCAAAGCGTTGTTCGATCATGTTTATTAGGTTCAGCAACTTTTTAAAGTTTAAATGAACTTCTTTTGACAATGATCTTCCACGCAGTCGAATCATAATTACATAATTATGTCATAATGTATTATAAACTATTTTTTAAGCAAAAATTAAAGTTTCTATGAGAATTTATTTCAAATCAGCTCACTTAATATCTAAAAACCCGAATGAACTCTTTATAGCTAAACAAATCTATGACTAATAAATATTCTGGGTTAGAAAAAAAAAAAAGAAACAAAAATATGAAATATTAAATGAGTTCTCAAACTCTTTAGAGACAGAGAACAAGAACGGCAAACAATTAACGGCTTGAACCATCCAATGCACATCACAAGAAGATAAAATCTGATTACTATACTGCGTACTACAGTAGGAATATTGAGATAAGTATAAATTTTAAATTAATAAATTAATTATTTTTCTTATTTAATCAATTTTTTTCCAATTTAACAACTTATATTATTTTATTATTATTCTATCATTCTTTCATCATCATCTGTTACATATTCATAATCCATTGCATTTTCATCATCAGTTTCTTCAGTGGTATTTTCTTCATTGTCAGTTTGATTTTCCACATCCATCACGCTTTCATTTTCATCTTCTGGAAGTGCATCCAATAACTCATTTATATTCAATTCATTCGTCCGGTTTTTAGCGACAGCTTGAACAATTGCCTGAAGACATTGGGACATTTTATCATTTTTACTACCATCTGGATTAAGCATAAGTCCAGCTGCTTCGAAAAACCTAACTAAAATATTAGGACTAATCTCCTTCCAGGTTTTAGACACCCATTCACAGACAAGTTCATACGAGGCTTTTTTACGATTTCCATTTTTAGTAAGTACTATTTTTCCTTCATCAATCCAGTGTTCTCTTCTTTGTCTTACTCCATTTTTAAATGGCTAGTTAATCGAAACGTCTGGTAGTTGTAAAACACTAGTTGTTCCTCCAGGTATTTCTAAAAGATCTAGCCCCTCTGCTTTAAATGCTTTTTTTACATCATCACGGACATGACTTCGATGACCATCAACAAATATAATACCTTTACTTTTAAAAAAACCATTTGGTCTTGATCGAATAGCTTGTGGTATATAGGTAGAAATCATTAGATCACCTTTCATATTTGCATAAGGTGCTGCTGCGACAATGATATCTTGTGGAAATATGCCTCTGGGCTTTTTTTTTAATTTAAATATCACCATAGGTGGAAGTTTTACTCCAGAAGCTGTGTAGCCCAAAACTACAGTAAAACACAATTTATTACTTCCTGTGATCTTGATTGGTACTTCACGAACACCTTAAAAATCTATTGTTAAGTTCAGAGGCATGTCGAGATAATAAATTGTTTTTCAATAACATTTGTTTTTTCACGTAAAACTTCAAGAAAGTCTCTAATAACTAAGGGCATATTTTCAGGAAATTTTTGCACAATTTGTGTTCAGGTACATTCCACCAAACCATGTCGTTTTCTAAAACGATCACACCAGCTACACGAAAATTTGGCATCCCTAATATCTAGGGTCTTTCTTAACTTCTTTGCCTTTTTCCTAATCATGGACGTTGTAACCGCAAGTTTTTCTTCTCTCTTTTTTTTAATATAATCCACTAATTTTTTTTCTAACCCAGGATACATTGCTTTTCGACCACGACCACTAAGGACACGTGTTTGATCTATATTTATATCTTTATTTTCTTTAAGAGCCTCAAGCTTTGACTTTTGTTGTC